TCAAGAAACAAAATGCACATTGTGGTTTCTGGAAGAAAGATGTGTGGGACTGAGTTTTCATACTGTTAGTCACTTGAATTTTTCCTTCTGGGTCCTAAAAGGGACAAACCCTAGAGTCCCATGTGCCATCCTGGCCAGGAGACTCAAGGGCCAGAGGGCCCCAGAGAGTGGTCCTTGCTGACTTGATGCTGGCCGAGAGTCCGAGACTCACTCTGTTGTCCCTGCACCTATCTGCTTTTGTGGCATGCTATCATTTCGGGGGACTCCACCTGCAGGAGTGTCCCCTCCATCCAGAAGACTAAGTCTCCCCTGCAGAGTGTGGCTGCCCTGGCCCACTGTTCCTGACAGCAACTTTGGAAGGCCTCTTCAGCTCCCTGGCATCACGGGTAGAGCTCAGCAGTCTTGGCTCAGGCTTTGTCTTCTTGGCATTTAGCCTTTGCTCCAGATATTCTCAGGAATGATGGAATCTCTGTTTTTCCATTGAGCATCATACCCCCCCACCCCCCCACCTTTATCACGAGATATGAGTACTGGATGATCTATTTCTTGATTCTCTGATGACCATCACGGAGCCATCTGAAGGGAGCAAGGAGACTCTCCTAGGGTTGATTCTTCGTGGGTCTGGAGACAGGCAGAGGTCCAGGCTTCAGCCTGTGCCTGCTCAGCGTGTGTCTCGGTGACAAGGATGCGGATGGAGCCTGCGCCTTGCCTTTGGGCGGAAGTGAAACAAGGAGAAAGCGATGCATGAACGGGGACGGAGCTGGGATTCAAAACAGTCCTGACAGGCCGGGCTGACGAGCCAGATGGAAAGGGGACGTGAACAACAGGAAGCTGGACAGTCCCGTCTCAGCCCAGAACGCAAGGACGTGGTTTACTGTGGTTCAACAGCAGCCCATGGGAAAAAGACTTGGGGGCCTCCACTGACCACAGCTCTGTAAGTTAGTGATGTGGTGCTTGGCTGAGCTCACACTCCAGAGAGAGATGAGTATCCCACCTACATGGCTCAGACTGAGCCAGCAATGTTCAAATCAGTCTGCTGAATTTCAGTGGCAAGTCACACTATGTTCCCGTTAACTGCTGACTGCTTGATTTTAGAGGTGCTTTAGGTCCTGTTTTATGTGATAGGAATACCCTTTTCTCTTCCATAGTGCTCTCTTCTTAGGACAGCATCCTGAAAGACAGAAAATAAAAATCCACCCAGCGTGATTTTTCCTACCCTGGTCGTCAGTCAACACAGTATTGCAGGCATAAAAAGCAAGGAGGTGTAAGTACTAGACACGAGTTCTCCAGCAGGCACTGGCTGGGTGTTCTTCTCTTCATTCTGGAGCTGTCTCTCCGAAGGTAACATCAGAGCCACGAGGTTAAGGGTGCAGCCTTACAAAACTGTTCTCTCCAAGTTCAGATCTGATACTGGTGACAAAGTCACATGTCCATGTTGGCAGTGAGCCAGACTCCCTCTAACAGAACCCTCCTGGGGTTTGCTAACTGGATGGAGTGGCTCATGGAACTCTGGGAAATACCTCCCTTATAGTTACCGATCTCTTTAGTTTTTAATCAAGACTTCAGAGTCAAGCTTGATGGCACATGAATGTAATCCTAACACTGGGATCCCGGGGTACAGGCAGGAGGATCACCCCCAAGTTTGAGGCTAGCCTGATCTAGAAAGCCAGTTCTGGGCCAGCTGGAGCTACAACATGAGGACCTGTCTCAAACAAACAAGTCACGTAAACAAAATACACGAGAAAGAATACAATTACAGATACAAGTGAACAGTCGGAGGAGGAGAAAGGGGAGAAGTCAGAGACACTCCTAAGGGCAAAGAGATGTGGGCTCCAACTCAGTAGCCCCCTGAGCCTCGACCTGAGTTTTTTAATGGAGATTTTATTATATAGTTATTATATAGTTTTATTATATAGTTAATGGTGTCTCTGATGTCAGCTGTAGCTTCGGTTTCTCCCCATTCCTCAGTGGCTGGAATGAGATGGAAGCTTCAATCATCTTACCACATGTCTGGTTCCAACCAGCCCGGTCCTAGTGAGGGATTCTATTGGTGTGACGAAACACCATGACCAACAGCTAGTTGGGGAGGAAACCGTTTATTTGGCTTCCACTTCAACATTGTTGTTCATTTAGTGAAGGAAGTCAGAATAGGATCCCTGAGGCAGGAGCTGATGCAGAGGCCATGGAGGGGAGCTGCTTTCTGGCTTGCTTCCCATGGCTTGCTCAGCCTGCTTTCACATACAATGGACCGACAACCCAGGGAGGGTACTACACACTGTGGCTGTGCCCTCCCCTAAGTGAGAAAATGCCTTACAGCTGGACCTCAAAGAAGAAGCATTTCCTCAGCTGAGGTTCCTTCCTCTCATGGCTGCCTGTGTCAAGTTAACACACAAAGCCACCAATACAAGCTTCTGCTTGACGTTTTCCAAGAGCCCCCCTAGAGTGGGGGGGGGCATCAGAAGATGTGCCTTCTGTTACCCCAGAATTTACAATAGTCTTAGGAATCTTGTGTTAGAAACTGTGGTTAAAGATCAAATATATATCCTATCTCAATTTTTACAGCGTTCCAAGCCCATCATGGTCCTTTCCAGGGTATGAGTGGAGGCGTTGGCAGTGGCCATCTAGTTCTTGTTGGGCTGTATGTATTTCCTCCTGTGAGAATTACAACCTTCAGCTGGGTTGGGGGTGGGGAATCCAGCTGTATCCCCAAGTCTCACATCCACAGTCCCCGGAGCTCATCCGGATTCCTCCTGCATCTGTCCCTGGTGACTCAGCAGCTGTGGACAGTGGCTGGTGTGGATGATGCATCTTGGCAGCGCCTTTCCCTGGCCCTGGCTCTACGCCCTGGGAAGCTCTCACACTTCCTATCTGGCCCTCTCTCCCTGGCCTGGCCTCCAGCTCTTGCTACTTGGATGTCCTGACCTCTTTGGTCTCCTCGTCCCATAAGAAGCCACATGCTTAGAGTTAAGTAGTCACCTCCCTTCTGGGTGGAAATGTCAGAGGCATGGGCCTTCCGAAGCCATGAGCGGACCAGACCATCTTTCCTGAGACCTTGTCACACACAGGCTGAGACACAGCTCAACTGGTGCAGGATGCTGAGCGATCTGCTTTTGGATCTAGGGGCAGACACAGAGGAGCTGCTTTCCGAGTGCACAAAACCCATCATCTTCCTGGCTGTCATCATGATGTGAATGACAATATGCCCTTATCTCTTTTGGAACAACCTTAGGTTTGGAACAAACCTCTGTTGTAATCTTTTCTTCGTTTAAAAAGCAAGATGTCTCTATCTGATATTACAGTAGCTTAGTTTTTGTTTATGAAATCAGTCTGAGCTCAAGCAACAATGGCCAGGGAGGAAGCAGGGTAGAAAAGAGGTGATGTTCCCTTCGGTACTGGAGGCTTTTTGCTACTTGTTAAATGGTGATGCTTCTTAGGAGACCCAAGGCAAGAATATTCTTGAATTTCTGATCCTCCTGCCTCTCCCTCCCGAGTGCCAGGATTACAGATGTTAACCTCTGAACCTGGTTCATTTGGTGCTGGGAATCAAACCCAAGGTTTTATGCAAACCAGGCACCATTTTACCAACAGAGCTCAATCTCCAGTCCCTGATTCTGCTGCACTATGGAAAGGTGACCCCTGAGGCAACAGAGCCCTCAGGAGTGCTTTTTCTCCCGCTGTTCTGTTGCAGAAAGCAGTTTCCAGGGGGTGATCCCTATGATCTCCTCCTCTGTTTTATACTCACTCCTCCCCAAGCAGGGCGAGTGGGCCCAGTCTGGGTGTGCGTAATCATCATTCCACGCGTGTTACCTGGATAAGACTGAGTACGAGGCATGTCATTTCCTTTGCCAAATCCCTCCTTGGCTCAATCAAGGCAGAGATTCAAGAAAACATTTCACACGCTTCGGCCACTCTTGACTGGCTCTGCCGGTGTGTGCTGGGTACTACGATGGGCGTGGATCCAGGGATATTGCACAGCAGAAGTCTTAACTGTTGAAGACCCCAACCATTGGTGCTTCAGATGAATGAGCTGCATGCAAATGTGTTAGTTTCCCAAGGAACGAATGGAGCCTTAAACTTGTGAGCAAATCAGCCTAGGAAAGCAGTTTATTTAAACGTGGGTCTTTATGAAAACATGCAAAGTATTGTGGTAAAAGAAACAGAAGCTTCAAAGGAAATATGGTCAAATAACAAAATTCGCCATTATGGGTTGCAGGGATTGTGGGTGACTTTTCATTGTCTTTGGTAGCCGTCTGCATTTTCTAAAAATTCCTGTCATGAACACACATCTTGTTTGCAGTGTGGGGAAAAACTGCCCCATCTTTCACATCAAAGAGAAAAGGGCAGAATAAAGGAAGGCAAGAAAGAAGGAAAGAGCAAAAGGAATGAAAGAGAATGAATTTGAGGGGGTTAGAGAGATGGAGCAGCATTAAGAGCTCTTGCTGTTCTCCTAGGGACCAGAGTCCAGCTCCCAGCTCCATGTCAGTAGGGCTGACAAACCCCGCTCCAGGGGATCTGACGCTCCCTTCTGGCCCTTTGAGGCACTTACCTACACGTGGCATAACAGACAGGCTCTGGTACTCCACATAGGTACATAGTGCACATGACAGGCATGGGGCACCTGTATGAGAGTGGCGTCCATTCATACAGATGAACAGGAGGCATGCGCATAAATAAAAATAAAACACACTTGCCTTTAAAGGAAAAGAACATCCTAAAATAATGGATTTGCAATCATAAAACTTGAACAGGTAATTGTTATGTGTCTCTATTGCTGGAAGGTGGAGCACAGAGTGGGAGGAGGGAGAAAGGGGCCATATGTGCCAGTTTGGGATATCCTGGTCTAAAGTGTCCCAGCACTGATGTCTGATGCGCCCCACCTTGCTCCTTGCTCAGAGGCCATTTCTCTCTTCTTGGTAGGAGAGGGTTTGTAGTGGGATCCTTTTGGACTCTGTCTCTTATAGGATCCTTCCTGGTGTCTTATTTGTGACCTTGCCTTTCAGGCCACAGCAGAGAAGTCTCCTGGAGCCTACTTCCTTCCCGAGTTTGCGCTGTCTCCTCAGGGAAGCTTCCTTGAAGACACCACGGGGGAGCAGTTCCTCACTTATCGCTATGATGACCAGGTAAGGCCTCTGCAGAAAGACCCGTCACGGCCTTTCCTACCCCAGAAATGCTGGCGAAGGGCTGGGGAGAGGCTCGGTGTGGACGAGCGGATGTGTGAGCAGAAGAACTTGCGTTCGGGTCAGCAGTGTCTGCACGAAAAGCTGTGTGCGGTTACGGGTGCCTGCAAGCCCAGTGCAGGACGGTCCAATCAGTGAGGCTTGTTGGCTCGCAGCTGAGAAGGTATAACCTGAGCTCCAGATTCAGCGGGAGACTGTCTCAAGGGAATAGGGTAGAAAGTGATGGAGACAGGCAGCCAGTTTCCTCTGGCCTGCACAGGAGCACAGGTGCACACATAGATGGACATTGCGCACACAGCATCTGCCTAATACAGCAGTGTGTTCCTCGGGGCAATACTAACACAACAGACCCTCGACATCCTGTTGGGGTCTGAGGCTGCTGGCCGCAGTGACTTCCTGATCTGTGTGCGCTTCAGCTCTGCCGGGAACACTGGCTCAGAAGAGATTCTATGGCTGTACTAAATTTACTCTCCTAGAGAGAATGATCTGTGGATTCTGACTGCGTGGACTGGCTTCTTCGCCCTCTGAGCCTTCACTTCACTTCTCACGGGAGTCTCTGCGAGCACCACAGCCAGCAGAGTAACCACCCGGGTGAGGCAAGACGCATGCCTGTTTTGGTTCAAGCTCCTAGGGTCTGGTACCAGGCAGTTTGTTTCAGGTGTATTGAAGATAGTACAATTTGGAAGACAGTTTCCTGGTGTGACACAGTGCCCTGTGCACAAGGAGGCATAATCACGTGGAGATGCTTCTTAACATACATGTTACTTCTTCCATGAAAATGGGTTCTAAAAAACGGAGACAGGGTACATTTGTTATCCTAAGAGCCCAGGGGAAGATCAGGTGTTACATAGGTCATACAGATAACATAGAAGTCATGTGGTCTATTAGCACCTCCAGTCCTGGTTGTGGGAGTTTGGGAGAGCTCCTGGCCATACAGATAATGCAAATGTCACCTGGACTATTAGGCATCTCTTGTCCTGCCTGTAGAAGCATGGTATGGCCTGGGGTTACAGATAGCGCAGATCACTGGGCTGTTAGCCACCCTCATTCCCAGCCTTCTGGACAGAAAACAAGTTATCATCTCTCTGTTGAAGAGACAGTCCTGCAGGTTTTACCATTCCTGGTTTCTCTAGTGCTTCCCTGTGAGCTCATGGACCTCTGTTCTCCCTACAAATTCTTTCAGGAGCACCAGCACCTGAATGTGTGCAGTGTGTGTGTGTGTGTGTGTGTGTGTAGTATGTGAAATCGCTTCACAAAGGTTAACCAGAGAATTGAAGCATGCTTGGCTGCTATGTTGTGTAAACTATGCTGTTGAAATAAGAGCGGCGGGGCTGTGTCCCCAGCACCCGGCCGCCCGCATGGCTAGCTTATGCCCGAAATAATTACACGGAAACTGTATTCTTTCAAACACTGCCTGGCCCGGCTAGTTCCAGCCTCTTATTGGCTAGCTCTTACATATTGTTCTAACCCATTTCTAATATTCTGTGTAGCCCACGAGCTGGCTTACCAGGGAGGATCTTAACCTGCGTCTGTCTGGAGTGGGAGAATCATGGCGACTCCTTCACTAAGCTTCTTTCTCCCAGAATTCTCTTCTGTTTTCTCCACCCACCTAATTTTCTGTCCTATGAGGGCCGAGGCAGTTTCTTTATTATTACAAGACCCACCTCCATCATTTCCCCTTTTTCTGTTTAAACAAAAAAAGAAAGGCTTTAACTTTAACATAGTAAAATTATATATCACAAAACAGTTATCAAGTAAGAATTACAGTTATAATATTTATATCTATTTTATCTTTTATCATAATTAAGGAAAACTATAACTATTCATTCTTCAATTCCATCAAAGACTCCAGAAGGATATAATATTACCTATCAAACAAGAAATAAGAAAACTCTAGAAATGACAGAGACATCTCGCTGCCTGGACAGTCACCCAAAGTTCCTCTGTACCGATGGGGCATCCATCTTCGGCCTACAGGCCCATGGTATCCAGCAGACATTTTCATCAAGCAGGAAATTCCAAAGACAGTTCAGTCATTTTCTGCTGTGTCCTGCAGAATGTCTCGCAGACTCTTTTATGAATCAGGAACCCCGAAAGACCATCTCACCTTTAGGCAAGTTCAGCAGTCCTCTCTCTGCGGGTTCTCTGTGTCCAGTTTATGCAACAGTCCAGGCAAGAACAGTTTCTTGCCCAAATAGCTATGAAACTCCATAAGGATCCTCTTCGATGCCCATCTTCCTCTTGAAGTAGCTGGTGCTGCCAGGAGCAGACATGTCTCATTGTCATGAAAAGTCCTAAGTTATTAAAATATTTTAAATGCCATATTCTGCAGCCCTTGAGAGCTATGAAGAATGCCTATCTGAAATATATCTCTATATATCTAGAAAATCTAAGTAACATGACTACAAACTTAACTATTAGCGATGATTATCCATTAACAACCTATATTTCCCAATTATACATTACATTTTTAAATGAACTACACAATCACAATACCTTAATCAAGATCAAAAATACATATACATATAACAAAATTGACCTTAAAATCCATACCAATGCAAATTATTTATATCTATATCATATCCCCCTTTAAATGTAAAAGAACATTTATAAACAATATTTGGGAACATGGGCATAGTTTTTTCTCTCCAAACTGCTTCCTGCTGAATAGGGGCGTCATTAATTAGGTCTTTCATGGTATAACCTGTGTGCTAGTTTCATCTCACTTGTCAATTGAGCGTAGCAATTTTTTGAGGGTGTTCACAGCAACCTTTCAGGAGGGCGTGGTCTATCATACCAAATCGGAATAGATGCAATCCACAGGTCTCATCCTCTGCAAAAACAAAAGAAGGACTTTTCCAAAGCATCATAACCTTAGATCCAAATTCTGAAGTCAAGATACCTTTAGAACATATGTGCAGGTTCAGCTTAGCAGCCCATATAATGAAATGTCTCTCTGTACTTAGCTCCTTCACAGTCAAAAATTTTAAAGAAAACACAATGTACATAATCCAGACTCTCTGTGAATTTTCCATTTTTAACGTGGCTTACTTTTTTTATTTTTCTTAATCTATAACTATCTGTATTCTGTGTCTTTAAAGACTTTACCCTTTTTTTTAAACCATTAACTTTATTCTCTATATTCTTTTTTTTTCTCTCTCAAGCCTACGTACACTTATCCAACATTATGATCCATTTAGTGGTCTGTCTGAATCTGTTTTATTGTGAATCTGTAATTTTTTTACTATCCAGGAGCACTTTGTTTTGCGCCTTTAAATCATCAAGCGCTTAAGAATCTAAGCTGTGACATTCCTAGGTCAAAAACAGGTACTATATGCTGGCCCCGCCCAGTCCAACATGGCGGAGCCGCTCGTGCCTCTGATCCTTGCACATTGCACCATTAGCATGGTGGAGCTGCTTGTGCCTCTGAGCTGTGGCACACAATGTCCCCCTTTTAGGCACACAGCAGTCTAGTTGCCATCAAACAAATCGTAGCACTTTAATCCAAATGCTCCATTCATAAGCTCTGTCTCCCGCCCGAGCCAGACAGAGATCGCAATGGCGGCACAGCCCAGAAAGCCGGCATTTTAAAACATCCAGTTTTTTCCTGCTGCCGAGTCAGGACAATTTCTTTGCGGCACGCAACCCAGAAACAGCAAAAAGCTGTCTTAAATTCTCTCTCTCTCCTTTTTAAGCCCTCTCAGGTTTTTAAGTGGATTTAGCCCGTCACGTCTGGGCGCCATCTGTTGAATTAGGTAAAGCCTTTCTTTTTTGTTTAAACAGAAAAAGGGGAAATGATGTGGGAGTGATTTCTTATTAATAAAGAAACTGCCTAGGCCCATTTGATAGGCCAACCCCTTAGGTAGGCGGAGTAAACAGAACAGGATGCTGGGAAAAAGAAGCTGAGTCAAGGAGTCGCCATGATGCTCCCACTCCAGACAGACGCAGGTTAAGATCCTCTCTGGTAAGCCAGCTCATGGGCTACATAGACTATTAGAAATGGGTTAGAACAATATGTAAGAGCTAGCCAATAAGAGGCTACAGATAATGGGCCAGGCAGTGTTTGAAAGAATACAGTTTCCGTGTAATTATTTTGGGGCGTAAGCTAGCCATGCAGGCGGCCGGGTGCCGGGGATGCAGCCCCGCCGCTCCTAATGCAACACTGTGCGCTTAGAGCCACGACTCTCTTTGAGTCTCAATCTGCAGCATTGGCAGGTAAGAGTAGACAGTTCTTTGGGATCATCTTCAAGTTGTGACCTACAATGCCTGCTCTACACAGTGTAGAGATTGATAGATGAATACCAGGATTCCAGGGACAGTGGCAGAAAACAGTGAGTGGAGATTTAAACCCATATGGGACCTGGGTAGCTCTGGCTACCTAAAGGCCCAAGAAGAGATGAAGAACTGGTCACCATTACCAACCATGTCGTGGCACACAGTGGCGTGGGGGAGGATGGCTGGTATTTTGGGAAAAGCTGTCTTATCTATGTGGTCAAAGGCCAGCACCTAGGTCAACATCCCTCAGGAGGAGCAACTCTTGACAGACTTAATCTATTGACATGCAGCCATTGGAGCATGATCAGCTCGAGAGCTGGCTGGACCTGCACTGGGCTGTTGGTTAGAATGGGAACTGAGGTCTCACCTAGCTTGACAGACTAATATAAATGACAGCCTGGAGCAGAGGGGGCAGGCAGATAGGGAAGCCCACTGCCCAGGACTCTATATCCCCAAATCCTTAGGGCTGTTATGGAACTACCTACCCTTGGTGGCCTTTGTTCTACACCAGGGTGAGGAATGAGGGGCAGGGCTGTGACACAGAAGACTGTCTGCTGATACCGAGCTTCACAGATCCCTGGGGTTTGGTGAGACAAGACCAAAGTTTTTAGCTGAAAAGTTCAACAAGCAATGGCTTCTCCAAGGTCCCCGAAACAATATGTTTGTGG